AACCTCCTCAAGGTGGCCATGCTGATCCCAATGCCAATGCCAATGTCGACCCAAGCAATATTGATGAGAAGCCTGCTGGCGATGCCCCAGCAAGTGGGGAGCCAATGGATACAGACGATCAGGAGGATTCCACTAAAGCCTGATAGCAGGTATCTGTGTGGGCAAGGTTGAGACCGTTATGTACAAGTGCTCTTTGGAAGGCTCTGGTTCGGGTGTAAGTGGTAGACAGTTTTGCAATTCGAATGTGTTGATGAACGATCGCGTGCTGGATTTTCATTTTAATTGTTATCGGAACAGGATGAAGGATCTCTCTCTAAAATCCGCTAGGCTATTTTAAGGCAAAGGTTTTTAAGAGGATTATTATTAGGACTGGACTTCAATTCAGAAGGGTCTGCCTGCGCTGTTTTTGGCCGTGAACTGGTTTTGCAGTAAAGTCTCTAAAGATGAATATGCGCCCTTTTTCTGTCTTCATTCTCTTGTGTTGGATCTATTTTCTGTATCACGTATTGAAGATTTTACCCATTTGAGTCGGAATTATACAAAAACCAGTATGTGTTTAATGATTATTCAAGTGATGATCCTATACGAGATTTATGGTTATATTATCTCGCGGGGCCTGACTGTTTGCCTGCTGCTCGGCTAAGCATAGCAGCTTGCCCATTGTCGCGAGGGCGTCCCCCACCATTACAAGCGTCATGTAGATCAAAGCCAAATCAATATTGATGGAGGCCAAATTGGGCTCTAGTAGTCTTCAAGATTGTGGCTTGCACAGATGGTCACTTTGCCGTGTCAAAGTTTGGTTCTTAAATCCTAATATTTGGCCGTGTTCAAGTTTGGTTCTCAAATCCTATATTTGTGTTATATATCTGATTATATACTCAAATTCTTAAACTTACACATATATGTTGTTACGAGGAGAAATATGTCTTGCGATGATTAACCTTGGCCCCCATAGATATCCGGCGAACATGAGAGCATTTAATATGAGCTTACAGCTCCTGTCGTGGCCACCAAGGGGGTAACATAGAAGTGGTGACTGCTAAGGATCGAACATGTGACCTTCTAGACACAATCATGCGCCTTTACCACCTCTATTACCCCTTGGTGGTTATTCTTAACCATATTTTATCAAATTTTTTGTCGATTGTCTCATGAGCTAGAAGTTGAGATGACTCACTAATTACAATGCTTAGATAAATCATGAGCCCAAAAGAACAAAGTTCACGAGTTGAGTTCAACAAGGCACTTAATTGACTTGGCTTACGAGATGAACAAGGTTTAGCTCAAGTTAGATCGTTAATGGACGAGTCGAATATTTTCTTAATCAAACGAGTTTTTATCAAGTCGGATATTGAAACGCCCCTAAACAACTCAACTCATTAACAACCTCAGTTATACCATATTGACAAATTATATTCGTTATTAGGTTATCCAAATACTGATATCGAACCTTGTCATAAAAATGTCGCAGCTTGAGTTGTGAACTCACTGGTCAGTTAACAACTGGAGTTGAAAATTCTCCATTTTTAGCTGTGAGGAGATGACTAGTTTCATCGCAGACAACCCGTTATGTCCTTGCAAGTCGTTTTACCCAACTCGGAAAAGTAAAAATACTACATTTTGTTATTTGTTTCCGATACTGAAGGATGATATCAAGGAAAAAAGTATGTTCCCGTAGATTGCTACGTGTGACCGTTCTCACGCGTCAAATGTTGAATGAACTCGAAATCGATTAACTACAAAGAACTACGAATTGGGTAAAACCACAATAATTTACTCCTAAATACTTTATATCATTCATGAGTAAAACATAGACAAATGTCCATATTTATTGAACAAATCCCGTTCTCTGTAGACAAGCTATACAAATGCTAAACCAATAAGTAAAGAGTAACTTTATAGATAATATACAATTGATAATACGCTTCCTACTCACAAACTTAGACGAATATCCCACCAATAATTAATATGAAAGACATAATAAATAATATTAGTCCGGCTATGCGGACCCTACAATGCTATAATACATCAATCCTCCCCCTTAATATAATAGACATAATCAATAATACTAGTCAGGCTATATGGACCCTATAATGCTATAATGCATCAATCCTCCCCCCTTAAACTCTTATGCCGCATCTCCTCCTTCGTCTTCCTCCTCAAAGTTCCATATCATGACGAACACATTTGCATTGGCTCAACGATGGCCATAAGTATATCGTTCATTGCAATTGTAGCAAAATTTATCCGTTTGACACCGGGAAGCTACATGTGGAGTCATTTTGCAAACAATGTGCCTCAGTGGAGATGACAACCCACATAGTAGAGCTAGTGCCGATATCGGTGAAAGTTGTGCCATAATAGTTTCGACAAAAGCAGGGGCTGCTCGTCCCGGTTTGCCGAATGTGTATTAATACTCGTCCACTGTCTCGGTCTCTCGAAATTTTGCCAATACCTCGCACCGGAAGGGTATTTCCGAAATTAATACCAATTCCATAAATCAGGCACAAGCTTCCCAAATTCATGACCACACCATGCTTCCAGAACTCTTCTTCCAGTAGCATTATCCACTAATTTGCGTCGCCATCCATGTGATACATGGCTAACGCCACTGTTTGCTCCTTTAGAATGCACTGTATTTGAAATATTTCTCAACTCATGACATCCATCCTGACAGGTCCTCTTGTCCCATAAATTTTTGGAATTCGAGTGTTGCAATTTGCGTGTGAAACATAGCTTGACTGGGGTACTCATACTACCCTATTAATCCTCCATACTCGTGCCCCAGTATTTGGACACCTCCGACATTAACCCCTACTCCAGTCGAATGTGGCATGGCAGGCAAGCCAAGATTGACCGTCAAATAGTGGCCCATCGCCACGTTGCGAGTCGCACATCCCCACAACCCTACGCCTCCTAGGACTCTGTCAGTCTGTTGTCCCCTGGAGAGTAACTCGAGCCAGTCTAACTCACGCTCAGCCCTACTTTGCCCATCACGAAAAGATGCGAATTAGAAATAATTGGTCAAACAAATCTGTGTCATGGCCACCCTTTCATCCCAATCCCATCATTCACGGCCTGAAAAATCATCATCGCCCAATGAAACCTGATCCGCTTGCGTGCACGTCGGTGGACCCATTTCTTCCGCCCAATCCTTCTGGCCCGTATTGCCAAGGCTCCAGCCTGTTCGATCCCAAATTAGCATCGAGATACACTTAATACAGACCCTCATATTATGATCCAAAGTGAATTGATTTCCAATCGTTACCATCATTATACCTTGGATTTGTTATGTGAATGCTTAAAGTGAGTTGTGACTCATTTTGTTATCAAGTTATGCTTTTGGTAGCGTTCTGTGCTTTTTCAGGTCAAAGTAGGCCAATGGACCACTTAGGAGCTGGAGGAAGAATCGAATGAAGAAACATGTGTCCAAAAATGGCATCCTAGTTGAGAAACGACGCAATGGCCGCCGATTTAGAGAAGTGACACTTCGTCAAGAAGGTGTCCATAAGTGATCCGGAAGTAGTAGCTTCATCGAAGAACTCTTCTAATTAGTTGGATGACACGTCAAAGCCAAGTTTCTCTCCCAAAAAACCTTAATCCAAGGCCTATAAAAAAGTCTATAGGGTTTGAAACTCGATAGCTAGTGATAGGAGGCAAGTAGAGGATCATTACTCTGCTGACAGAATACCCTACCTGACTTAGAGTGACACTAGTTTTCGGGAGGAATCGGTGCCCTCCGACCCAATTTCTCTGTTATGACTGCCGATTCTAGAGGTTCTCTGGGAGGTTTATTTCAATCGATGACTCCCTAGAACCTATCCCCATGGCTGCTAGTTCCCTTAGTTGCATAGGTTGGCAAACCTTAGATGTTCTTTGACAATGTAACAATTGATGTTTGGTTTATATATGATGATTGGACTTCTTCTATCTTTTTGGTAGCCTGGGTCATGGAGCCCCAAATCATGAACAAAAGCCCGAAGACTAATGGCTTGCGCAGCATTCCATGCAATACCCCCATCTTTTTCTCCCTCATGGAGGGTAGTGTTGAAATCACCTATGATCACATAAGGGTGGGGATATAGCAGCGCAAACTTCGCGCAGATGAGCCAGTTGATTGGCCCGAACAGCAACATTACAACTAGTGTAGACAAAGATCACCACATAAGAAAAATCTCATTCGTTAATTTGCGAACAAATATAGAAATTGAAATGACAAAACACCAAAGTGTCAACCCCGGGGACCAAGCGACTACTAAACCTCCCGATGCATCGACTGCATCTACAAAAAAAACAATGAGAAATAGGAAAACCTAAACCCTGCATACGACGGGACACTACACACCGGCTCGATCGCATTTCCAAAAAAAATACGAGATCCGGTTTATTAGAATGAACAAGCCCTACAGCAGTTTGGAAAGTGAGGGATGGCCCAATTCCTCTCACATTCCGGGCCAGAATCCTCATTTATCGGCTAGGGGCCACTCGAGATTGGCTTCCTCCACCTTTTCCAGGACATCCACTGATTATGTTTCCACAAATTGCTTCTTCGGGGTAGGGGGATCATCCACATCCCCATCTAACTCCTCAAGTCCCCGCTTCCGATTCTCCATAATTAGGTCCATCAAATTTGACCCATACTCATTGAGGTTCGAGCGAGGCCCCTTGTAGGACACGCCCTCCTCCCGAGCACCGACTAGCCTTGCTTCAAAAGCCTCCACCACTTGGTGAACTCGCCCAGTCAAGACTTGACGAGTCTCCACTGAGATGCCAGCTGGTGACCGCCGCTTGATCTAAAAAAGGTGGTGATCCTCAGTCGATTGATCACCATCTGATTCTGTGGCATCCTGATGATCCTCATAAATAGGACCATCCCGGGAAGCCCCAGTCTCTATATCCTCCAACTCACGCGGAGCATCAGGAGGAGCAGCTCCCCCAACCTGGTTGGCTATAGTCACTGAGCAGCCAGCTCTACTTTTCCTCAGACGCGGGCGAATCCGATGCGCCGAAACCCAGTATGGGTGGTGACTTTCGAGGGCAATGGATGGTCCTCCTGGGGCTGGTGGGAGGCTCATCAGAAGGACCAGAAGTCGCACGAGTCTGCATTAATGGTATGGTCTTCTCACCCGAAGTCTCTTCCTCCTCCTGTAGAATCAGCCTTCGTCGTCGAGACTGCTCTAGAGCCATCTCTACCTGGTCCTCTACCTTCTGGGGATGGGGTGCCTTCCTGGCGCGTTTTTCTGCCGGCTGGCGACCCTTTGTCCCTTGTTGAGGAAGAAAGGCAGTATTTTTGGGTGATATTTTTTTCTGGTACGGCCGATAACCACCACCAATCTTCACTCGAGGTGATGTATTGAAGACAACCCTCTTAGGGCTAGCACGATTTCCCACCGGTTTGGGCTTGAGCTCCTGCAACCTAGGTTGTAGCCTTTGTCAACATGATTCTCCGGCTCCCCTGTCAAAGAATGAAGCGCGCCCTAATCAATTGAGCGATCAAGAGGCACTGGCCGTGATTCCATCTCTCGAGGTCTGGCATTATGCGAACTCCCATTCTTGTGCAACTAAGCATTCCTATTCACCCACATCGATTTGCTGGTGGTGCGAAACTTAGGGTGATCCTCCTCGTCCATGTAGACCTTCCTTCCTGCTTTTCTTTTAGACATATGCGGACCGAACCGTTCTTTGCCCGGCGTTGGAATCTCTTCACTGGGAAGAAAAATTTCAAATAGGCCCATCTTAGTGGCCGAAACCCTAATGTTTCCTTGCACCCGCCATGCCTCAAGCAAGCCTTCCCTCAACTCACTAGGAGTGAATGTGGTTTCCGAGAATAATCTCCCTAACAGAGTCCTCGAAGTTCGAAATTCATCGAATGGACTTCGTCGAGCGAAAATTCAACCACTTGATCCTCCGCTATACGCGCCATTGCAGCCACCTGACACACGGGGATAGACAAATTATTAGAAATAACGGGGTTAGCCCCAACCTGCCCAATTAATAGACACATCGGTAGAGAATTTTATGGACTGGGCACAAACAGACATGACGGAATAAAACATTGCGGGTTGTCCACAAGCAATTCAGGTAATATAATTTTTGGGCCCTCACTCGCAGCCTCCAATGTCGACATCAAAAAGCCCAATTTCCGCAATCTGTCCCCGGGCAGCGCGTTGGCCAGCACACCAGGAGGCAGCGAACTGCACGAAGCTGCGGGGGTTACCGCCGAGACCGGGGCCTGCACCGTAGGCGGCAGCGAGTCGCGTGATCTTGAGAGAGCTACTGCCGAGACAGGGGTTGATAACTCTCTCGAAGGAAAGCAAGAAGGAGAGGGTTGAGGGAAGAGCTCAGTACCTCGCTGATGACTCGGATCGCACCGCAGCTGCTGGGGGGGAGTTCCTCTCCTTGCTTCTCCAGAAAATCCAAGGCACTGAGAGTTACACTAAAGGTTTGCAACTGGGGGCGATGGCAATTTATAGGGGATAGAGTCCGAGTTCCACAGGGAGAGGGAAACACCCCTACTTCATCTTTTTGTTAGAGGAGTAATTGGATTAGGAGACTGACGTTGGGGATTCGGTTTGTTTTTCCAGAATCGGATCCGACGCTCGCTAATCGTGCCCAACAGAACCGAAAAATCTCCCGAAAATCCCTCCTTGCCCACCCTACGCAACTACTTCCCCAACCACCAACGCTGAACGTCGATGCCGCCACTCCGGCCGATCAACTCCGCACCGGTGACATTGGGGATGGGATTTGTAAAAAATTCCGCCGCTTTAGCACTGCTTTGCAGTACGCCGCAGTATTCCTCCCCGAGGGGATCATCTTGACCATCAAATTCACAACGAGTTTCGTGTTTGCTAAGACATTTAGATTCAACAAATGAACAGGGTACTCTATTCTCGTTTTTCGCTTGCTCTGATGGCTCGGGAATAGTCCCCACCCCTAAGGGTACATTAGGGTTCCATCGTTTAATTGGTATCAGATCTACAATTGGATGTCGTGAGGGCTTAGTTTGTTCCCCGCGAACGAGGGCGAGACATAATCTTCATCTTCCAGTTCGGACGAATCCGGAAGCCAGAATCGCCATTGATACCGTGATCGGATCCGACATCTTTTGGTTGGACGTCCTGCTTCAGTTAGAACCTTGGCAAAAGCCATTTGAAACGATCTCTTTTTCAGGCGGAGCCACTTAGCTCGACGCCTGGCCATCCCAGTCAAATCCCTCTCCGAAGAAGGGCTCGCCGATTCCAGGAGAGGCTTCCCTTCCCTGCTATTGATCAGAGCTTTTTGTCAACCAGGCTCCCGACGACGATGCCATGTCAACAATGGCGAAAAGGAAGACCCTTAATTCTGGTTCTTCATGCTGGCTTTGTAAATGACGATGGCGGCCCGCGATAGCCACCGCCCAAGCACCGAATAGAGCAGAAGGAGAGAGGAGAGAACTCCTCCCTTTTTTTTCTTTTGATAATTAAACAAATTCAAGGATCACATAAAAACATGGTTGTCATGCCGGTGGCATGCCACCCGGTTGAACCTGGTTCAACCTGTGCCGGTCATGAAACCGGCATGACACCACCGATATGACCGGTATGATCGACTTACGCATTCTAAGTAAAATGACATCATTTTAATGAATTTAATGAATAAAAATAATAATTTATTATTCATTTTATGAATGTAATAGTTGAAAGTTGATGATATTTGTTGGATTGTAACTAAATTGTCCACAAATATGTTTTATATATGATTAAATACATTGGATATTAATTGTTTTCACATTTTTTTAGACCGGCATGAACCGGCACAAACTGGTTATACCACCGGTCGTACCAGTCCACTTGCCAAACCGGCACAACGGTATAAACCGGTTTGACAACCTTGCATAAAAAAAAGTTTATTTAAGTTTTTGGCAATTTTTTTTCTTTGGTAGGAACTAAAATTAAATACAATAAAACAAGAAAAGGGTGAAATTGGAAAGCAGATTCAGATCCCTAAAATCGTCAGTCTGGTCTCTCGCTTTCGCTCTCGCACACAGTATTCGCTTTCGTCGCTAGCTGGATACTCTCGATCTGCTTCTCCGAAAGCTGCTTTCACTTGGTCCGCCAAAGTTGCCACTCACTTCTGTTTCCTTTTCCATCTGCAGCATCGCCTCCAGTCTTCTTGCCTGAATCTTACTTTGCTCCTTCAAGTCAGGTGAGCTTTGGAGAAGCTCTTCTCTTATGCGTGCGAACACTAGTTTAATTCTTGCGTTTCTTCGATGCCATTGCGTGCAAGCCTTCTACTTTCAGTAGCTTTGAAGTGAAAACAGTATTCTAATTTCGTTGCTTTTGGCTATGCACTGTGACATTGTCTGCTTTTACTATTTTTCTTCATTTCCTCTCCTTATGCTTTCATTATCATAGATTTTTTGGATGGATAGTAAACCCTTAGGTTGCAGTCTTCCTTGTTCTGAAGGGAACGGAGCAAGGATTTGGTGAATTTGCTAGTTTTAGGACCCTTATCATGTACTTTTCCCAATACATTGTTATGGATTCTGGTTCTAACCTGTTTACCAAAGCTTGCATCTTTGATGACCAATGGCGAGTTGGGTTTTCGTAGTTCGGATGTATCATTTATTGAGGGACTCAAATAGTGTTTTGGACATGCCTTTTCTCATGTTGTATTGTATGGATCCCAAATAGTGTTGAAATCCTTAATCATTTCATCTCATTAATTATGTTTTGCCTCTTGGATTATTTTATATAGAGATTGATATTTTTTCATGTTTTTTTTCCTCCAGAAATGGGAAGAAGTAGATGACTCATCTACAGGGATGCAGGATTTGATAGGTAGGAATTTATACTAGGATATTAGTTGGGAGTTGTTTTTGGAGCACTATGGGTGGCATTTGCTGTAAACCCTCTTCTATAGTGGATAACAAAGAAAGGCTCTCAAGTAAAGAATCATCTGATTTGAGGATATCAAGGGTCACATCTTCAAGGAGGGAAGATGAGTATAGGCCTAAAGATAGGTACAACAGCAATGTCAGGAGGACAATGTTAATTGATAAGCAAACCGATGGGTCAAATAGATTGCAGGTCAGTGAGAGTGTTGATAAAAAGAGGGAGAGGATGGAATATGCTGTTGTGCAATATCCAAGGATTGGTAGCATACCAAAAGCGATTGAAGGAGAGCAGGTTGCTGCTGGGTGGCCTTCCTGGTTAGCTGCAGTATCTGGGGAAGCAATAAAGGGGTGGCTTCCTAGGCGGGCTGATTCTTTCGAGAAGCTGGATAAGGTACATGATTTTCTTAAACTTCATATTCTTTCATTTAAACCTTTCTGATTGCTTATTTGATTAGTATATTCTGTCCATTTCAAATATACTGCTCTTTTCTTAAGTAACAGTAACTCCTGACTAGTTTGGAGCAAATAATAGTTGTGTTTTCTCATGCAGATTGGACAAGGAACCTATAGCAACGTTTACAGGGCGCGTGACCTTGATCAGAAAAAGATTGTTGCTTTAAAGAAAGTGAGATTTGATAATCTTGAACCGGATAGTGTTCGCTTTATGGCAAGGGAGATCCACATTTTGCGTAGGCTTGACCATCCTAATGTTATAAAGCTAGAAGGCTTAGTTACATCAAGGATGTCTTGTAGCTTGTATCTTGTCTTTGAATACATGGAGCATGACTTGGCTGGTCTCGCCTCACATCCAGGTCTTAAGTTTACTGAAGCACAGGTAATTGTTAGAGTTTCAGCATTGTAATATTTTCACAGGAGTCTGGTTTGGAATAATGATATTTCAAATATGATGTTCTTGTAGTCTGCCAACATCATTCATTGTAAAGTACATATTTATGCATTTATCTTATTCTTGTTTGTTGCAGATATCTGCTTCTCATCAAAGTCCTGTAATTTTGGCAGGTGAAATGTTACACGCAACAACTCCTACGAGGTCTTGATCATTGTCACAGTCGTGGTGTCTTACACCGAGATATAAAAGGTTCCAATCTATTAATTGACAATAATGGTATCCTGAAAATTGCCGACTTTGGTCTAGCAAGCATTTACGATCCCAGTCATATTCAGCCGTTGACAAGCCGGGTTGTGACCCTTTGGTATCGTCCGCCGGAGCTTCTACTTGGAGCGACGTACTACGGAACTGCTGTGGACTTATGGAGTACTGGTTGCATACTTGCTGAATTATATGCTGGCAAGCCTATTATGCCTGGTAGAACTGAGGTATTTGTCCCTTTGGGTTTGGATGATTGGACTTATCTTTTGGTCACTGATATCTGCTGCTTATCTATTGCCTATATCGTTTCTACAGCTTTCTGTTCACAAACTTCTGAAACCAGTGCTATTCAAAATGCATTCCGAAACTTAATTCACCCTGGAATTTCCTGCACGAGAGATTGATGTCAGTTATGTATGACTCGGCCCACATCAACCTTATGTGCATGTGTGAAAGTAGCATAAGCAACTTGAGGATTGAACTACCATAGGTGTGGAACTCTTGTTTAACAGCTGTCTGATTTGAGGTTTTAGTTGAATCAGCATTATGTGCTGCTTCTCTCCCTAATGATCTCTCTCTTTTCTCAACTTCTGAAATCCATGAATTGGTTATCTCGTTGCTTCACTCTGTATTGTAACTTACCTGGGTTTGTATGGGTTGTAAAGGGATGTAAAAAGAGGATATGAGCCCAAACAGATGGAGCTAATATAGCCTTCTAGCCTTACTCATGGTGTATTTGAGGAATGAATAGATGTGACCTCAGTGGAACTGAAAAAGGCTGCTGGTCCATTTTCTGCTGTGTATTAGACAGTAGAGTCCCTTCTCACAGCTTACTGAGATATACTAGCTTCTTCTGAGTGTTTTAAATACACTGAATTTAGGCCTGCCTTCTGTATTGATGGCATATATACTTCACTTAGGATATTATTTCATTATTGTGTTTTCTGACTGCTTTGTTATTCAATTGAAAATAGTTCAGCAAGAATAAGGCCAGATGAAAAATTTACATGTTTTTTGTCTTTGAAGGTGGAGCAGCTGCATAAAATTTTCAAACTTTGTGGTTCTCCTTCTGAGGATTACTGGAAAAAGTCAAAGTTGCCTCATGCTACTATATTTAAGCCTCAGCAACCTTATAGACGCTGTGTAGCTGATACATTTAAGGAGTTCCCTGTGCCCGCTTTAGCACTCATGGAGACCTTGCTTTCCATTGATCCTGCGGATCGGGGAACTGCAGCTTTTGCTTTGAGGAGTGAGGTATGAAGCTCTAGATGTTCAATTGGCCACCTTAAATTTATCTTCTCAGGAGACACATGCTGGTACTTGCTAAAAATGTTACAGTAGCAATTATATGGTTTGTGTGTGGCTAGAATTCTTATAACTGGGTGTTGTTTCTCCTTCTCAATCGTGACAAATTCTTTGATAGGATATTCACCGGCACTGTTAGTTGAACTAATTCTAATAGTTATGTCGCATTTTACACAAGGTTCAAGAAGGCGCTAAACGTAAGGAAGTAAAAATAACAGCTTTATAGCACTTTTGTACTTATATTCAAATGATTCATAACTTACCTGACCCTTTACAAGAAGCAAAATATGTCATAATTTCCTAGAATCAGAAGCTTAAGAAAGTGGTGAATTGAAATTTGTCCAAAATTAGCTTTAGAAAACTTGAATCTTGTCGAAGATGAGAAGAATGATTATTTAGAATGTGGTGAATCATGAGTCACGGCTCACAGCTTGTTGCTGCCGGGCGCTGGCAGTCAGCGACGACAAAGAGAAACTGGGTAGAGGGTCAAGGCAAAGGGAATGGAGCAATGAGGAGAAGGTTGTGGGCTTGTGGCTATCGTAGTCAGTGATGGTGAAGAGCAACAAGGCAAAAGGACGATCGAAGCTAACGAGGAGGTTCTTGGCTTATTACTATTAGGAGATGGCAGTCTGCAACGACAAAGAGCAGCAGGGTAGAGGGTTGCTCGAATGAATGAGTGACAATGAGAAGCAGCTTTCTGATCTAGAATAGGGAGGAACAAATGTTGCATTGAGGGTAGTTTGAGATGGTGTTGTTTTGGTGAAGTCAGCTGCCTTCTTTCTTCTGTCGGTCCACTAGATATGCTTAAGTACGCCTCCAATTACCTAATTGGGTCTGACATTGCTTAATCACGACTAGGTGCCGCCTAGCTCTGCCTCGGCATTAAGAATGTCTTATTTGCAATTTAAGGCCTAGGAGAGGCATTTTGTCATTGCCTAGGTGCGTAGCTGCAATCGGAATTCCGCCTTCTTGAACCATGATTTTACATATCATAAATATTAGTTGCGTGTGATTATCTGAAACTCTTGCTAATCTCTCTACAAACTCTTGCTAATCTTTCCATTTGTCACCATTGTCTGTTGTTGCACATCTACTAGTGTTCTGGCTGTTATGCATTTTTTCTTTTAATTTGTTGGTGATGTTTTGGCCATCTGCTCAATGTGTTGCAGTTCTTTACGACAAAGCCACTTCCTTGTGATCCTTCAAGCTTGCCAAAATATCCCCCGAGCAAGGAGTTTGATGCAAAAATGCGAGACGAAGAAGCTAGAAGGTTAGGATTATCAAATCTAAACACACATTTGCTGGTTTTAGGATTATTCGTTTTCTGGATTATATAATGTTATCATGGTACATATTTTACTGCTTGATTTTTATCAGACAAGGTGCAGTAGCAAGCAAGGGCCACCGACATGACACTGAACGAAGAGGAACAAGAGAATCTCGAGCAGTGCCAGCACCTGATGCTAATGCGGAGTTGGCTGTATCTATCCAGGTGAATTCTAGTTTTAATTCTCCCATATGGGGATCAATGGAATTATTCACTTATGGCCCTCTTTTGGCGAGAATTCTCACAAAGTTACAATCCTCAAAATTTGATATTTTTGTGGAAAACTAGAGATGTTACTGCATTCTTCTTGCCAGCAACTTTGCCATCTATTGCAGAAAAGCAAGGAACTTCAGTAAAAACAAAAACGATTACATTTCTGTTCTGTACATGTGTTTTTTTACCTTTTCAACATTTTAATTTTCTTGGAGTTACCTTGATGGGCTATTCTTATCAGTAATGGCCATTTCTTGTGTCCATTCTTTTGATCCACTCGCTCGTTCGGCTTCTGATATCTTCCTTTTGCATTTTAACTCTTTCCTTTGATTTGTGGCTCTTCAATTCAATTTTTAATTTGCCCTTTGCTGTAGCAGAAAAGGCAATGTCAGCCAAACTCTAAAAGCCGCAGTGAGAAATTCAATCCTCATCCAGAAGAAGTCGCTTCTGGGTTTCCATTCGAACCACCTAGACCATCCCAAGTCACCGAATCAAGTGGAGAGCCCCCACATCAACAGCAGCATAGGCGAGGTTCTCATTCAGGCCCACTTGCTCAGCGTGTTGCTTGGTCTAAAGCGGGTACTAGGAATCCCTATGAAGCTCCTAAGGTTTCTAGTGGGGCTGCTGACTTGTCAACAATGCCTGCTGGGTTAGTAGCTGCAAGGAGAAGCTTGTTGACTGAGGACCGAAGGGAAAGATCGGTTCAACCACAATCTGAAGTCCCGAAACTAATAGCACGGTTTCCTGGATCTTTCAAGGAATCCTCGGAGTCCTTCGGCCAACAAGATCAGAAGCATCACCATTTGCAGGGTTTCACTACAGGTGCCCATCAGAGGGAGGATGGAAGGGCTGGCTGCGGCAATCCTGTCCTTGTAAGTTGCTGCAGTCGCATTGAAATCAAATTAATTGAACTTGTTTTTCCCCCTGAAATCTTATTCCTTGATTTAGGTTGGGCATGGGTCAAAGGGTCCCAAAATCCACTACTCTGGTCCACTGGTTCCAACTGGGAACATGGATGAAGTACTGAAGGACCATGACCGCCATATCCAGGAAGCCGTGAGACGAGCACGGATTGACAAGGTAAAGATAAGGAAAATTCAGGTGGATGGCAGTCAAATATCAACCAATTCATTATTCGTTTCTGGTCGTTAAAAAGTTGTATAAGGAGCTTAGAAAGCATAGCTAGCTAGACGACCATTTTAACCAAGTGGGTTAATTTAATCTTTGATTAGCTCATTGATAAGTTCTCATCTCTCTTCCTCTCTGATGGCAAGTGTATCTATTGTATTTACTTACACTCTCTTCTCTGTCTCACTTAAATATGTAATGTATATGTTCATGAGCTCTTCTTGTAGAGTCCATCGTCGTTGATACTTGTGGATTCCTGAATGGAAAATTGATATGCTTCCTGGGCTAGTTTGAATTTTGTACGTTTAATATCGTCAGAATCAGTTGACGTAGTTCAGATGATTGAGATTTGCTGCTTTTGTTTGGTTTAGCTGTTTCTGGTTTGAAATGCCAATGCCTCTTGATACCCTATTTTAATAAGTGGGTAAATGCCACATTTGGTTAATGGGATTACTAAGGGGTCGTTTGGAAGTTGAGATTTCAGATAATGTATTTGTGGCCAATACATGTAATCAGAAGAATTTGTCCTTTTTTTGTCTTAAAAAGAAACATAATACTTGTATTTGAACAACAGATGGGACCACTAGAATCATTCATTATGAATGATTGCAAATCTCAGCTTTTAGCAGAGATTGTGTTTGAGGTATTGTTAGCTTACTTTTTCTTTCTTATTCTTTGAGGGACCACCAAAATCATTCAATCTCCAAACAATGTATTCAAATTCATACATTGAAACAATACATCTAATTATAATATATACATTGATTAAATACATCAATTTAGAGAATCCCAACTTCCAAACATGCTCTAAATCGTGTTATGTTTAGTCACTAGAAAAAATTAATATAAATTTTGGTCTTACTAAAACATGTCACATTTAGTCACTTTCTTGTTAGTCTCCGTCCAACTTTGGTCACTCGAATTAATTTTTTATTTATTTATTTATGAATGTCACTCGAATTACTGAAACATGTCACATTTAGTCATCCTCCCGTTAGCCTCCGTCCAACTCTGTTACAGAGTTGGACGGATGCTAACGGGAGAGTGACTAAATGTGATAGTTAATGGAGTTGGACGAAAACTAACGGGAGAGTGACTAAATGTGATATGTTTCAGTAATTCGAGTGACCAAAATTGATATTAATTTTTTATATTGACTAAACATGACATGATTTAGTGATTTCAGTGACCAAATGTGACATTTACCCTTTAATAAGTAGTTCAATGTCTTTCTAGCTAGTAGAATGACACTTCACCGTAGAACTATCCATGGACCCTATCATCCTTTTCAATGGCAAGTTGGTGAGCACCACCACCGTATGCATGCGTCGGTAGGTTGGAGCTTGGTTGCCTCGTTATTGACTGGCGAGACTATGGGCGCATATATGGCGAGTTCTATGGTACCCTGGGTAAAATCCGGGGTACCGCATACATTGAGTATGAAAACACTATCTAGACCTTGAATTGACCGATCTTTCGGACATGATACTATAATCTAACCCTTAAAGATCAAAATCTAGGTCTTAATTCTCCCAATCTTGTACTCCAAGATCAATTTAATTAGAAACAATAATCGACGGTTATGATTCGTCCAAATATAGACACAAAAAGGAATGCACCATCTTATGGTTTATAGATTATAATTTAGATAATTAGGACCTAGGGTTCACTCATTAAGGGTTAGGATATAGTATCATACCCAAAAATCCTGCTAATTCGAGGTCTAGATACTATTTCCATACTCAAGGTATGTGGTACCCTGGATTTCACCCGGGGTACCATAGAAGGCACCATATGTATATATATATATATAACTAATAACATTATTTAACAGTCATTAGAAGTAGCCACCTAACAAAAATATATGTTAAGGACATGAGGCTAATGAATTGGGTGCGTCTATATGAAATTTCTTAGTTTCCTAGTAGTTATCACAGTGTATGTTGAGTGGTTATGCAAAGTATTAAGTATGTATATATAATATATTAGACATATGACTAGCTAATTGCTTAACCGGTTAATTGGTTAGGAGTGTGTGAAACCAAACCAAATCATCTAAACCAAACAAAAGGAAAAATTTGTTCAAACCAATCGAATCATCCAAATCAACCAAACTAAATTACCCGAATACTTCCAATTAAATGGTTACCACAGACCACGATAACCACTCTGTTTGAACACCCCTACATTTCGCTGCCTTCCTTTCCCATACCCTCCAAAAAGTTTGGACCTTGAGGGCCTAAAAGTTATCACGGTCTGATCGTGATAATGCTATCAAGTTTGTGAAGGCCTTAAATGAAACGATGTGTTTTTGCCCGAGATCACGGGCGAGGCTTCGAGATCACGCCCGTGATAATCGACCGTGATCAGCGCGCGACTAGAATATTAAAGGAGAAGAGAGCTGAAATTTGAAGGGGGATCCTAGTGAGAGATTGTCTTCTTCTTCTTCTTCTTCTTGTGGTTTTATAAAGATAAAGTGACGAACAAAGAGAGAAGAAGAGGTCTAGCGTTTGCTCCTAGCTAGAGGATTGAAGATTTTTAATTCCAAGGGTGATTGGAATCACAAGGAAGGAAGTCAAACACCACACCATGGTTCTTTCCCTCCTCTTTGTTGTAATCCCTAGCTTAGCTATGGAGTAGTTCTCTTTTCACTTGGGTGTGGGCCCTAGCCTAGAAATGTGATAGGTTGTTGGATTTGAACTCTATGTGTGTAGATTGTTGATTCAGGGCTAATTACACACATTTTAGCCCTCATTTCTTGATAGTTTAGCCTTGCATTTCATCGTCCCTCGACCTATTTTACACTAGATTGTGCTATTTTTGATACATTTAAGGTCATAGCACGTGTGGAAAGTCAATGACGAGTTTAGGGACGAATGGAGGTCGAAAAGAGCCAAAAAGTGAAGAAAAGTCCAAAGTTGACCGTGACAATTGCATGACGGGTGTGAAGTTCGCGAGAAACAAGGAGGTTCTTTCACCTCGCGAGCTTGAAGATTATCACGATCGCCTGACCGTGAAAATTGTCCAGTGACCGTGATGTCGGACCAAAACGGCAGCATCCTCCCGCGTTTTTGTCCGATGTCACGATCTAAGCTCCAAAGTCACGAGCGTTAAGTGCAGATCGTGAAAGTGACTTCGGGCTCTATAAATAGAAGACAACCGGGAGAGAGAAGGGGAGGCTAGATCTTGGGGTTGGTTTTACATTATCTGGGTTCCCTTCTAGGGTTCCAGCTGAAGAAACCCTAAGGGGGAAACCCTAGTGAGAGAAATGTCTTCTTCTTCAAAGTCTAGAGAGAGAAAGTCATCAACACGGAGAGAAGAAGAAAATTTGGGATTACTTCAACCTATAGGAGTGAAGATTCTTACCTCTCAATTAGGGGTGCTATTTGGTTACCCGGTTAACAATTTAAACGGTAACCATACCGTTAACTGACAGTAATCGGTTACACCGTTAACCACCGGTAACGGTTGTCGGACGCCGTGAGGAAGTAAATGGTATACCGGCTGAGTTTCTGTTGTTTACCGTCAGCAACCCGGTTAACCGCGTATCGATACCCCGACGAAGACCACATGTTTCAGCCGCTGCTTACCGACTATGCGCTAGCACCGATGGTGAACTAGGACCAGGCGCAGCGGGTGATAATGGCATACAAGTCGTCAAAGTTCATAAAGACAGATTGGAGGACAAAGAAGACGAATGTGTGGAGCCCTGATCATGGAGCTTTTGATGGGGAAGTTCCCAACGAGTTACTTGTGGCGAGGGAAAGGGGCGACAGAGAAATACGTGGAATGATCTGGAAGGCAGTGCATCACAGAGCTATTTATCTGATGCTAGCATTTCTCTTTATCTTCTTTTAATTAAGTTAGGTGGTGTTATTTGGAAGGCGGGATGCTAAAGATGCTCAATTACGAAGCTAATTAGGAGCTCATGATGACTCGATATTTGCACATGTTTTCCCCTTTGTTTCTTGATCGTTTAAGCTTGCATTATCGCTTCTTTGGCCTATTTTACGCTAGGTTGTGTTCCTTTGTCACATTTCAGGCCCTAGCACATAAAGTGAAGTATAGGCGCAAGTTTCAAGTCAATCAGAGATCAATTGGCGATTCGGGAGAAGAAACTCGGGCATGACCTGAAGAAGAATGGATTTCTACCTCACTTTATGGACAAATAATCATGCAAGTTTGTCATGAAAAGAAATATGACAAGACTACGAGCGTCTGAGATCAAACGGCGACTGATTCGGAGTCCGGACGAGGGAGAAACAAGGCATTGAATATAGGGGAACAGGTTCGGCAGTAAAAACACGGGCGCGCCTAAATCAAAACACGGCCGTGCCCATATTTAGGCACGACCGTGTTTTGGCCGACGCGCGCGGACGTGTTTTTAACACGGGACAAAACACGGGCGGGAAAAATCAAAACACGGCCGTATCCACCACCATCCGAGTGGTATTACCCCGAGACTCCCTGGAGCAATCAAGGAGGAGAAGACTATGGATTCGGGTTCCAGTACCAACCCCCTTACTACGGAGAACAACCGGACCCTTGGGCATATCAAGAACAACCTCATTACCAAGAAGAATTTCTCCCACAACCAGAAGGGCCATCGGCGCTGGAGTTACCCATGGCGGCCTTCACAGGCCATTCTGCAGAGCCATGCTACACTCCATAGCCAGATCCAAACTATGAATTGAGGCTCCTCGTGGAGCAGTATGCTCGCAAGATGGACCTCCTTTTCTCATCTGTTGCTCCTCCTAACTCTTCATCCCTCCGTGAATTGGAGGAGACTGTTTCGCACTCATCAAAGCAACCAGAGCGGGTTGAGCAAGTTTGAGCACAACTTGCTCAAGATCACCCGTCTGCTACCATACTAGAAAAGGAGGAGGAAGAAGAAGGCTACAAGGACATTGTGGAGCAAACAGAGATTATCACAGAGAGCTCCCGTGAAGATCATGATCAAGAATGTCCTGTCGTAGCCGACCACCTCTTCCCACATCCCACACCGAGCTTTGAAGAGGCGGGCATGAGTGAGGAGATGCAAGAAGATCTCATGAAAGAAATTGCTTGGCAACTTGCTCTCCAATCCGTGCTAGAAGAAGAAGAGCAAGAAAGGGTGCATAAAGAAGTTGTGGAGGATGACGAAAGTGAAGCAGAAGGAGTTCTTGATCATTTCCCAGGGGTGATACCACATGAAGAAGAAAGGGGGGTTGAAGAAGCAATTGGCGTCCAGGCTGAGGACGAAGTTGAGGTGGAAGAGGCCTGCACCGGCCATGAGTTACATGTGATATCTCCACCAAAATTCGAGGAACTACTTAGCAAGGACCCATTTGCAGTGTCTCTTTGCCAGACCAAGGC